AGTTTTGTATACTAAATTTCTCTAAACCTGTTTTTATGTACATTAGTAAATTTAGGTAACACTTATGTAATTTTCTAAGTTCCTAGTTTCATATATATACTGAAAATCAACTATATTTAAATCAAAATGATGGTCACTTTAAATCTAATGTCAAACTTTATACATAATTATTGAAATATATTACTGACATATTCACATATATTAATTTATGTGATAAATTATGATATCAACCAAGTATATTCTAAAGTCATGAATTTGGTCAAGTAGCTTATATCACTAAACATTGTACATAAAAATTGTATATCAAACTGACATGACCACTTAGATTAGTTTATAGGTATAATCAAATAACTAAAAATGAGTAAAGTACTTTAAAATTACCCGAGTTCAAATAATGTTTGCTCTACGAATGATAAATAACTAACATTATAAATTACGTTTAATACAGCTGGGTCATCTTACGTTACAGGTTATCTACGCCCACATGTCAATCAGAATCTTTTTTTTTTTACTTTCCTCCCTACTTTTATGCTTATTATGTAGATACTTGTTTGTTTGTTTGTAATTAAGCACAAAGCTACACAATGGGCTATCTGTGCTCTGCCCACCACGGGTATCGAAACCCGGATTCTAGCGTTGTAAGTCCGCAGACATACCGCTGTGCCACTGGGGGGCAGATACTTGTTAATATACTTTCTCGTTTTATTAACGGAGTTATACACATTTTATGCGCTGTTAGAAATTGCGTCTCTTCATCTAGAGTAGAGGAGAGAGACATCACGTAAAATGTTTTGGATGAATTTCATATCACATCAGTGCCGCAATATTTATTTATAGAAGTCATTTTAAAGCCGAAATAATAACGCAATTATTACTTTAGTCTTATTATCCATGCTGGTCGTTTATCGATTTGTAGATTCTTAGAATAGTATTTTAAACATAATAAAATGTTACGTCTCATGTTTATTGTTAGAGGCATTGCCTGTACATAAACACTAAATATTTCGAAAACGGTAGATGTGTATTTATAACTATTATAAAGTTTCACCAGTAAGTCTGAAGGTTTATAACGATAAAAATTGGGTTTTGATACACTTGGTGGGCATAGCACGGGTAGCCCGTTGTGTAAATTTGAGCTTAACAACAAACGACAACGAAATAAACATTTGAAAGCAAAAGTACTAAATTTTGTTCCAATTTAAATTTGTAAAAAAAAACCTTCGATACCTTGTAATTTCATATTTATTTCCATATTTCTACTGTCTGGGGGTTAGCTCGTAGAGAAATGTATGGCTCACAGTTTGGTTCACATTTCTCTACGAGCTAACCCCCAGACAGTAGAAATATGGAAATAAACATCTAATTAAATGGATAATTCTTTCCATAGCTATTTATAGCAAGTGAAACTAAATGACCAGGTGTTTCAGCAATCTACTGGTAAAAGTGTCATTATCCAATTTTTTCGTTTTAATCGAGCAGGATTTAAACCCGGAACCGCTCGTACTGAGATAACGGGTTAACCAACTAGTAATTCTTAGTTTTTTTTTTAATAACTCAAACTACCGCAAAAGAAAGCAACGCGCCTTTATGAGCTTTAGAAGAATGTGATGCCCAGAATTTTAAAGCCTCTTCTTTCGGAATGGGCGTGAAAAAGACAAACCAGTTGAGTACTTCAGAAGCACAAAATACATAATTGAGTTTAAAAAAAAGAAAAAAGAAAAAAAAAGACCAGTGCGAAATTACAAGGTATGGATGGTAAGTACAGAAGCTTAAAAAAATTCAAAACTGCCTTACACTAAGAGAAAGGCAGCCAGACGGAAAGGAGAAGAATATATCAGTTGGCTTCGAGGTAAATATGGTTTAAAGTTGGGGTTACAGTTAAAGTAATGAACAAGCTTGTAACGTAACACCAAGGCGTTAAAGTTGTGGTATCTTCAGGTAAAACCTCAAATATGGATTAAAAATAAGTTTGATCATACACGGGGCCGGATTAATGGCTATAAATTATTCTAAAACATATAAAAAGTAGCGTTGACATTATGGATCAGGATATAACATGGCTGTTTTACCAGCATCTTTTAATAAAGTAGCAACTACCTGATAAAATGCAACCTTGCATTTAAAATGAATCATATTGAAAACATAAATAAAAATTGTAAATTTATAAAAAAACTGCTTTTGTTTGTTTCTATGTTTGTAATTAAGCACAAAGCTACACAATGGGCTATCTGTACTCTGCACACCACGGGTATCGAAACCCGGATTCTAGCGTTGTAAGTCCGAAGACATACCGCTGTGCTACTGGGGGGCTAACAACTACTTATGAGCATAATGATGTGGTTTTACTTTGGGGAACATGCTACAAACGTATGTTCTGTCGAAGATATAGAATGTTCCACAAAGTAAAAACCACACCATTATGCTCATAAATAGTTTCTTTGTCAATTTAGTATTATGTGCTTCCATACACAAGTAACTTGAATGATAATTGCACTTCAATAGCCCCGTTCGTCGTTTATATTATTATAATGTTATTTTATTTTTTTAGTTATAAGTATAATATTCAAAATGCATAGATCTTTATGCAAAAAGTAATGCCACCCATTTCTTTTTTTTATTCTTTAGTACAAAACTTTCTTACTAATCTATCTTAGTGCAAAGGATTATACGACAAAAGCTAGAAATATAAAAAAATGACCCTTCAAAACTAAAACTGCGGTTAGAGGGGTTTGGTTTGTTTTGAATTTGGCACAAAGCTATTCGAGGGCTATCTGCGTTAGCCGTCCCTAGTTTGCAGTGATAGACAAGATGGAAAGTAGCTAATCAACACCATCCACATTCAACTCTTAGGCTACTCTTTACCAACAAATAATTGGATTGACCGTCACATTTAAACGCCTGAGAAGGCGAGAATGTTCGGTGAAGGGGATTCGAACGTGCAACCCGCAGATTGCGAGTCGAGCGCCCTAACTACCACAGGAAAATAAGAAAGAACTAAAACAGTATTTCAGTAAGTGTATTATCACTTTATTTCGTTCATACAAATGACCCATACTCAGTTCTTGGCGGTAAGTAGCGCGTTCGCATTGTTGATCTGTTTACTTGATGTGTTACCTCCAAACGTACGTATTTTCATTGCAAACTCCATAATTATTGTTATCGATTTGGTCAAAGCTTTTTTGGTGATATTGTTACATTTTTATTTGCGTTTTATTTGATGTGTCTTTACGCTATTCTCAGTGTGGGGGTGCACGGCTTGTTACACTGTAATGTTGTATATATGGAGATTACATTTTGATGCTTGGAAACCCTGTAAGTTGATTTGTATACGGCGTATTCCAAATGGATAACCAATAACAATTTGATTGCTATGTGCACGTCAAAAGAACGTTTCATATAACGTTAAAAGTTCCAATTTGAAATCGGACCTGTGTTTACAATTGGGCAAGTGGGTGGTAAGTCAGCAAAGGAAGAAATTGAGTATGCCTAGAGTGGCTACTCAAAACTTAGAAGCCTCCGGCCCCAATTAAAGTTAATCTGGCCCTGCTAGTACATATGACACCGCAATTTGGAAATAATTAATTTCACCTGGGACTAATTTGATGCTTTACCAGGTATCCCAGAATGCATTTCTTTCTGCTTCACCACAGAGTGTCGATTTTCAAGAAATCTCCAAGCCAGCGAACTTCCAGAAAAATCCAAGAAGAATGGACATATTGTGGTATCAAACCAGACTTAAAGTACATGTGGAAAAGTCAGAAGTAACGGTACTGTAAATATCAGTCAACACTAAACGTATTGACACGGCATACTACCTGTTCTAGTATATACAGTTTCGTTATCAGAAGGTATCGTTTATGATGTTTGGCAAGAAAAAAGTTGCGATCGAAATAGTGATCAAGAACAAAATTTACTTTAGGATCAGGATCCTGATGTAAAATGATCTTATCGTGCTGTAATAAACTGAGTGTTGTAGTTTCGTTTCGAGTATCAGATTAAAAGATGCAAGTAACACATGACTGAACAATCAACATCTGTAAGAAATGGTGGTAATATACTTATGAAAGATATGGCGTTCGTTAGAGGTGGAAGTTTTGTAAGACTGCGCCATGGCATGAATCATGAAACTTTTTTTTTTTAAGCAATGAAATTAATGCACATAAAACCTATGGTTTCAAACCTATCAGTATATAGTCCTATGAAGTTTAAAAATAAATCGCTTAGTGTCATTTCTTTTTGTGTGTGTGTCTAATGAATTCTGAAAAAATTATATTATTTGTTTATAATATAATGTTCAAAACTACACAAGGACGTCCCTACAGAATGGCTAGAGGGAAGTCAGCTGGACAACAGTACCCACTACCGAATAGTGGGTTTGTCCGTCACTTTTATGGCGCATTCAATGCTGCAAAGTGCGGAATTTGCTTTTGTTGCATTCATAGTCCAATCATTGGGCCACCCCCGGCCATTGTAAAACAATACAATGATGAAAAGCATTTGAGAATAAAATAATATATATTGTGAGGGATTAAGGGATTTTTTTTATACTGCCACAGTCTCATTCTTAATGTTTTAGAAAAATTACCAGGGATTTTGTTAATCGTTCGATTCCCCATGTTTAGAATTTGCCAAACGAGTGTTAATTCAAGCAGACTTGTTTTAAAGTACAATGAGAGCTTTTGAAAACATGCATAGTTTCACATGCCACGAAAGAAATATTCTTGAAAACGTGAAGTGCGTGTAGTAAGCAGTAACATATAGTTACAACTGGTAAAATAAACAAAAGTTAACGATAAAAATTGTAGTAGCATATTGAGAAAGTAAGGAAAATATAAGCAATTACTTATTGATAAAAATAAGTCCCAATTTACTAAATCAACGTCTGCCTCAGATACTGGAAGAGTATTTGTATTGGTGGGACACGGAGCCATATTAAAAAAGAAACTTTTTTGACGCCGAAGACATGGTCAGAAATTAATTGTTAAATGATGTTTTACTAATTTTAGTATAAAATGATAAAAACCCTATAACCCAAATTCTTTCGAAAGGTGGACCTTTCTTCTTCAGCCTTCTTCTTCGCTCGAGTTATAGGTTTTTTATCATTTTATATTAAGATTTCTTAAACCTACGTGTTTTTCTGACATCACTAATTTTAGGATGTTGTTGTTGTTTGTAGTTATGCACAAAGCTATTCAATGGGCTATCTGTGCTCTTCCCACCACGGGTATCGAAACCCGGTTTCTAGCGTTGTAAGTCCGCAGACATACCGCTGTGCCACTGGGGGGTGGGGGCATTTTAGGATGTAAACAACAAGGCAACCATTGCATAAAATGTGGTAGCTCTACAAGAATGTTGGTAGTCCGCTATTACATTTATAAACTAAATGTTTCACTGCGCATGCTTGCTGTCTATTACCACGTGCGATACAACCTGGCAATCCACACGCTGAAAAATAAACTACGGCATGATACAAAATTACAAGGTCTATAAACTGTCATTTGTCGTTCAATGAAACTGCATCAAGGTAAGGAAACGGTTTTCCTTATGTACTTATAATTATATACCATATAAATAACTGTTTTAACCTTGTTAGATGTTTTTCATTTTATATATTTTGTATGTCTACTAAAATCATAGCCGTGTATGTAATAGTTGACCTACAACGAGTGCACACAACACACATATGAGAAGGGTCAGCCACAGCGCCATCAATTGGCTTAAAACTAATCTAACAGTGGCAATATTTGATTATCAGGTAATAATAACGGTGCATAACATCATTCAGTAATAAAAACATTAAAAAGTAATTACAGAATAAAATTCACTGCTCAAACTATCGATGAGCCAAATGCTCCATCGGTTCATACGCCCTTGTTTCTTATAGTTTACTTTAGACGCAATTGATGCAATGATAGGATTGGTTCAGGATCAATATTTTGGCGAATTCGCATTGGTCGTCATCGGACATTCTTAACCTGTCTCACAAATGATCGCCGTCAGTGCTTATATATGGCTCACTTTCGTTTTATTATTATATCTTAATTCTCCGAAAACAATATTATTTGTTTGTTGTTAAGCGCAAAACTACACAATACGCTATCTGTGCTGTGTCCACCACGGGTATCGAAACCCGGTTTTTAGTGTTTAAGCCTTCAGACTTACCGCTGAGTCACTGGGGGTGGGCTTGCAGGAGTATCAGAGTATGAAACGGCGCTTTTGATATGATGAAGTATGAAATTATTAAATGTCAAATGAACACAAAGCTATTTAATTCCTCGTAACTGAAATAGGTCATAGGCTGGGTAAGATTGGAATCAACAGAGCTTGATTTGAGTTAAATTATGAATATTTTTCACATATATAATACCTTATTAATGTTAGAATATAATATGTTTCACAATACGTAAAAAAGAATTTATTTACCCCAAGTTATCGGTATACTTATTTTAACCTATTCACTTGCAGTGGATTTGGTTTGAATTTCGCGCAAAGCTACACGAGGACTATCTGCGCTAGCCGTCCCTAATTTAGCAGTGAAAGATTAGAGTGAAGTTAGCTAGTCATCCCCACCCACCGCCAACTCTTTTACCAACTAATAGTGAGATTGACCGTCACATTATAACGCTCACGGCTGAAAGGGCGACCACGTTTGGTGAGACGGGGATTCAAACCCGCGACCCTCAGATTGAGAGTCAAGCGCCCTAACCATTAAGCTATACCGGGACCTAGCGGTGGAATCTACATATTACGTCATATTGTGTAATTTTATTTCTGCTTGTTATAACACTTACGTGAAGAACTGACAAATAATTTGGCGAAATCACTTATCTTTATGCAAATGCATTTTATATTAGTGAACTAATTTGCAGTATTGATGGTATTTTTTACATTTTTTATGTGCTTGTATGTTATTAGAAATATTGTAACCAATTAAGTCATAGAGCCACAAGCAGTTTGGTGGATAAAGAGTTTAGAATCTTTGCCTAAAACTGATGAGGTCCCTCGGCAATCCTATAGCAAGCATTCTCCAGCTGCTTGAGGTATTCAACGTTTAAATAGAAAGTATGATTGAAAGCCTTACCTTGTTGCATTATTACCAAATGTAGATCTTT